GATGGTGAAGGTGTGGAAAACTTTGCTTATAACTCCACGGTGACATACAGCTGTGCCCCTGGATTCCAGCTCCTTGGGAATGTGAGCATCCGCTGTACGAGCACAGACAAAACCACTGGAGTCTGGAGCGGAGCTGTGCCCAAGTGCAAAGGTGGTTTCATCCCAATTTTCTCTTTATTACTATTTAGCATTTATTATGTGTTCGGTATTTAGGACGAATCGGCTCAAAATATTGTGACTGTGTGGTACAGGGCATGTCAAACGTCAGTAATAAGGCAATTTTAAAGAGGAAAAAATGCAGTGCTGGAGTAAGAACAGAACTGTGCAAGCAAGACCTAGTGCTCCCTGCAATGCTCACTCTTTATCCCCTAGAGAAAAGCTCAGCTGTCAAACTTGGAGCAAAAGACATGGAAAGGAGTGTCCCTCCCCAGAGTGAGTTGAAATGATTCAACACTGAACCCAGTCCCATTTAATTTGCTCCTTTATCACATTTCTGTCAAAAGGCCATTCAAGGAACTTCACACGGTGGATTTTATTCTTTCAGGTCCCCAGGGAAATGGCATCCAACCCCCTAAGAAGGCTTTATCATGGGAGAGGAAGCTCAGCCTCTATAAGAAGTCACTCCAAAATACCATCTCCTCCCCCCACTCTGTTTCTGTCTCCAAGACACCAGGTCAGTCCTGGAAGCTCATCTGGAGACCGGGGAAATTCCTCAGTGGGACTCCCTGGTTACTCCCAGCCCCAAAACCTGGAGTTTCCATTTTTCCCCATGTCTCCCTTCAGTGTCCAGGAGCTGTGCTACCTCAGCATTCAGGTTTGTCCTACCTCTGTACAAATCCCAAAAACACTCTTCTCCTGGGACCAGCAAAGGATCCGTGTGTCCTCCGAAGTACATGGGGATCTCTGGCATTCTCCCCAAATCCAGCTGCTTTCAGAACTTAAAACTCTCTAAAGTTGCATCATTTTGTGCAAGTGAGTGATTTTTTTTTTTGTCATATTCTTTTGTTCTATAAGTTTCCCCTGTATAATTTATATCTTTTGCTGGCTGGGCATCTGGTTCACAGCTCAAGTTTGACTGTGCTGACCTCCTATTCTTAAAAAAACTTTGCTTAGTGTGAAATATATTTTAATTTATCATTGTTTCCTTGTCCTCATGTTATCCCAGATATTTTTTTAACTCTTTTTTTTTTTTTTTTATGGCCATTTTGAAAAGCAAGAGATGACTTTGCACCACCTTAGGAGTGCCAGGGCTCTTGCCCTTGCTCCCAAGTGCTGATGCCAACCTTGTTCCACACAGAGAGGTCGTGGGTGGCCAGGAGAAGCTGGACATGGCAGAAGTGCTGCTACACCACATTCCCCATCCACTGCAAAGGATTATTTTACCCATGAAAAGGGTGAACTTTGGCTCTGTGGGACAAGGGGGGAGCTGTAAGAGTGTTATTGTAAGTAATGAAGCCAAAACACCCACTGGAGGGTCTCCCTACCCAGCTAGAGGTTGGGTGAACAGTGTTTCTCTGGTGTCAGGGTCAAGCTGAGTTTGCCCACTCCTGATTCATGTTTCTTGGGTCAAAATCAGAAAATCTGTTACCCCTCCTGTGGTGGACAAACCAGCACTGGAAGGATAAAGCAGGAAAACCCTTCGCCTGATCTGCTCCAAAATTGCCCCGTGCAGTGGTTGCACTTGTTAGGGCTCTTACACTTTGCTTTAAGACAAAGACTGAGCTGGATCAGGCCTGTCCCACATGTAAAATGTAATTTTTTACCGGTGATGTGTTTTTAAATGTTCCCAGAAATTGACTGAAAATCACTTCTGCAAGCATTGGTCGATCTCCATATTTTCCTCTCCCACCTGAGTTTTTCTTTCAGTGATTTTATTCTAACCCCCTGAATCCCGTTGTGATTCCCTGCTGATCTGACCAGCCTTTTTGTTCAGGCTGCAGTTTCCCAGAAATACCCCCCAGATGTTCTGCAGGACTTCTGCAGAGCTCAGTTACGTCACAGCCCCCCTGACTGAGCGTTTCCACAGCCCCAGGTTTTTTTGCTCACTAGCAACCGCCCCAAACACAGACCCAATCTCTCTGAGGAGCTGAGCTGCTCCCTCAGCTTCCCAGGAATTTCTGGCTGTAGCACAGCCTGGATGTGGATACGCCCATGGCAGCTGCCCTGAGCAGGGCTGTACTGAAAGCAAAACTTGCAGAATTATGAGCTCATTTCTTTTAGGAAGTCATAGAGTTTTAGACATTACACTGACCGTTGATCTTTATATCTTCGGTAGTTTAAGCCCTTCTTTAGCAAAAGCTACTTTTTTTTTTTTTGTATCAGACCTAAGTTCTTTGAAGTTTATATTTCTACTACAGGAAGATAAAGCCACAAGTGGGCTGGGCATCTCCTAATCTCATAACATAAAGGAGCTACTTCTGCTTTCCAAAGGGAGGAAGGCAGCTCAGTAATGCTGTGAGCACCCTGACTACTCAAAGACACAGAAATACAACTGCTAAATATCCTGCCCAGTGTTGTCACACTGCAACAGAGAGACTGGAAATGTCACATTCACGTTGTTGGCTGCTCACCCCATCTCTGTCCTGTTCAAAACACTAAAGCCTTTCTGGGATTTTATCTACATTTAGTAATAAATGGTAATTGTTTATAAAGGATGGTCTGTGAGTTCAACTGCCTGTTGTTCCCTTGTCATGTTTTAGTCTCTTTTCAGGAAGGAATCAGCTTTTAGGAATATCCTCACAATGTTCAGATTTGCTGTTCAGTCAGTCCTTTATCAGCACTCTGAACATTTATTTTCTAAGTTAGATGTGGTTTTTAAAAAATCAGTAAAGAAAGCAAGCAAATCCATGCAGTAAAGCTTGGGAATGTGAGTGTTTCTGGTAAGTGCTCTGGAAAAGGAAGCTGGAGTGATGGATACCTGCCTTAATCCTATTTAGCCATCCTGGGACAGAGCCCTGCAGCCCCTCTGCTGTGGCTCAGCCCAGGGATCAGTTCCAGAAGGTTTTGGGAGCTGAGGGCGATATCCCAGGCTGCTGCCAGTGGGAGCAAGCAGGAGGGAGCCGAGGGTGAGTTTCCATGGAAAGCCTGGAGCAACTCCAGCAGCTCAACCTCTGTTTTTGCTGGCCAGTTTTGCCGGACACCTCCCGCTGCCGCAGCCCCGCACCAAACACGGGTCAGGCTGCCCTCTGGACGTGCTCTTCTTCTGCCACCACCATCTGCTTGGCCCGATTTCTGTAGGGAGGGGATGTGGGAGCCAGATAAAGCCGGTGGCCCTCGGTGGCTGCAGCAGGGCAGGCACAGACCTGCTATCGCCGGGCTCAGCTGCCGTGCGGGAGGTGCCGGCGCTCGGCCGGTTACTGGGGCAAAACGGGGCAGCAAACGTGGGTGCAGAGGGACAGGCTGGTCTGAGCCTGACGGTGGGGCAGGTACAGATGTCTCCTGCAAGGCCTCAGGTAGGAAAACAGCCTGGCTCAAGGGTTCAGCCTGTCAGCAAGGGGGGATTTCACTGAGCTGAAGCTGCAGCGCTCGGTTCTCCCGGTGGAAGTGGATCCGAACCACTCCCTGAGGAGACTCGACACTACCTGGAGTCTTTGCCAAATACTTTTCAACATCTCCATGTTCCATGCTGAGGTCACTGCCCAGAATTCAGACTGTTGGGGTTTTTTTTCCTGCTAACAACTTCCTTTTGCTTTGTGCAGCCACTATCCCCCTTCAGGCCTCTGCTCACCAGTGACCTGTAAAAATATGTGGCCAAGGTATGTCCATATAATTCTTCATCCCCCTCCCAAGTACGTATTTCAAAGGAGGACCTCACCCAGGCTGCCTGACTCCTCCCTGGGTCTCATTGCAAATGATTTTGTTACATCTGCTTGGAGCTTAAATTGTATTGGAAAGGAAAGTAAAGTGGAGAGAAAAAACTAAAGTAAAACAGGTAAGTTTGAGCTTCTCAGTGGAAACATCACTGTTTCCTGCACAGCAAAGGCAAACAGGAAGGTGCAGGTTTGCTGCTGGCTGCCCTTTGCTCGGTGTGGGAGCACTGCTCAGCAGAATGGGATGAGGCAGCAAACACAGCCACAACCTTTCCTCTGGCTTTTCCCTCGAGCCCCATGGGTGGGGATCCCAGAACAGCTCCACTTTCCCCATATGGAGCCAAGGTAAAATGCTCCTGTGCCTGACGAGGCCTGAGGACACACCTGAGCCTCTTTGGGCAGCACAGCATCTCCTTCAAAGAGTTTTTAGTCTAACTGGGAGAGTTACAGTGGGAACACTGGTATCCCCACTACCCGTACATAGGGGTTAATAGAAGCAGCCCAATTAGCAACTTCAAGGTAGGACTGATTTAAACATCTCTGCTCTCTTCTGGGTACCTCTCAAGCTGGAGGAGAGCCCTTGTCTCTCTGTTCTTACAGAAAAGCCTCTTTCCATGGAGGTTTGTTCTTTGGGACAGGCAGGTGATGTTTGAAGGTGGTTTGGGGGTCTGGCAGGGTCTGGTGCCCTTGAGCTGTGCTGGGCTGAGCCAGGTGCTGCTGGAGAGGGCAGGTGGCACCAAGGAAGAGTCAGCTCTTGTCCCCACAAGCAGCACCTTTCACCCCCCAAACACACACTCTGGGGTATGCCCCAGGGTCCACAGTCAGAGCCGGCAAGATCCCCCAGGCTGCCCTTTTTGGTTTGGGTCTTTTCCTTTGGGAGTTGACAGCTCTGGAGGGAGGGTTGTCTTTACTGGAAGGTGCAGAGAAACGATGCGAGGGAGAGGCTGAGGCAGCGGGTGCCCGCAGAGCCCCGCTGCATTCCTCGGGATGCCAGGCGTGCCCCGCGGAGCCGGCACGGGGGGGGGAACCGCGTCTTCCACACCCACTGCCCACCGCAGGCACGGGTTTCGTCAGAGAATTTCCCGGAGCTGAGGTGGCCGGGCGGGGTGCGGGGGTGCTGCGGGAGTGGCCCCGCTGCCCATCGCTCCCCGCCCCGCGGGGGCCGCCCGGGCAGTGCCGGGGAGACCCGCGATGGGCTCCGGCCGCTGCCGCTCGCTCCTGCCCGCGCTGCTGCTGCTGGTGCTGCTGGTGCTGCCCTCGGCGTGGGGTGAGCCCTCGGGGAGGGACTGGGGGTGCGCTGAGCCCTGACACCTTGTGTGTGTGCTCCGTGGGTGCGTGTGATGTGTTTGAGCGCGTGTGTTCCACGCGGGTGTGTGCCCTCTGTGTGTGTGCATGTGCTCCATGTACATGTGTTTTGTGTGCTCCGTGTGCTCCCTGTGGGTGGGTGTGTCCCCCGTGGGTGTGTTATCCCTGTGAGTGTATGTTATCCGTGTGTACGTGCTCCTGGGGCTGTGTGTGCCCTGGATGTGTGTATGTGCTCCCTCTCCATGTGTTCCAGGTGCTCCGTGTGTTCCTTGTGGGAAGGTGTGTGCTCAGTGTGCTCTGTGCGTGTGCTCTGTGTCAGTGGATGTGCTCTGTCTGTACGTGCACTCTGTGTGTGTGTGTGTGTGTGCATGTGTGCACCCCCTCCATGGGCATGTGGGCTCCATGTCCGTGTGTGTGCTCCCTGTGCATGTATGTGCTCTATGTGCATGTCTGTGCTCCCTGTGCATGTCTGTGCTCCATGTACATGTCTGTGCTCCCTGTGCATGTATGTGCTCCATGTGTATGTATGTGCTCCCTGCGCATGTCTGTGCTCCCTGTGCATGTATGTGCTTCACATGCATGTATGTGCTCCATGTACATGTTTGTAGTCCATGTCCATGTGTGTGCTCCACATGCATGTCTGTGCTCCCTGTGCATGTATGTGCTCTATGTCCATGTATATGCTCCCTGTGCATGTGTATGCTCCATGTGTATGTATGTGCTCCACATGCATGTATGTGCTCCCTGTCCATGTATGTGCTCCATGTCCATGTATGTGCTCCATGTCCATGTATGTGCTCTATGTGCATGTATGTGCTCCATGTCCATGTATGTGCTCTATGTGCATGTATGTGCTCCCTGTGCCTGTATGTGCTCCCTGTCCATGTTTGTGCTCCCTGGGCATGAATGTGCTCAGTGTGCATGTGTGTGCTCCATGTGCAAGTATGCTCTGTGTGAGTGCCTGTGCTCTGCTTGCATGTGCTCCATGTGTGTGTACCGTGTGCTTCACATGTTCCAGGCGTGCTCTGCTCCGTGGGCTGCCCCACTGTGTGTGTGCCACAGTATGTGTGTGCCACACTCCCCCCCACACTCCGAGTGTGCCCTGCCCGGGGAACAGACAGAGAGGCAGCAGAAGCCTCACTAAATCCTGGTGTGTTTTGCCACAGGTGACTGTGGGCCCTTGCCCAGTATCAGCCACGCAGAGCCCACAGAGGACATGAAAGACAAGCAGAGCTTCAGTGAGGGCTCCACGGTGAGGTACGTCTGTGCCACAGGTTACACCAAACGCCCCTTCCTCTCCGACACCGTCCAGTGCCTCACAAACTCCCAGTGGTCCCACCTCCCGGAGTTCTGTGGCCGTAAGTATTTCCCTTTCTCTGCTTGGAGACGCTTGTGAAAACATTCAGTGCTTTGGCAATCGCTGATTCAGGGGTTTCCTCATCAGGAGTGGCCATCAGGATGAAGTGGCTTAGGCAAGGATCTCTTACTGCTCCTTTTTTTTCCTTACCCCCACTTTGGGGTTGGAGCCACGTGCTGGCATTTGAGTGCTAATAAAAATAGATCAATAGCTTGGGAATGATTCAAAGAGAGTAAATTTTAACATCTAAAACTTTTTGCATTAAGTAGTCATCTGGAAACGTCTTCTGATAGAATCCTACAATGGTCTGGCTTGGAAGGGACCTTAAAGCTCAGCTCAGTCCACCTCGTGGAAGGGACACCTTCCACTAGCCCAAGTTGCTCCAAGCCCTGTTCAACCTGGCCTTGGACACTTCCAGGGCTGGAGCAGCCACAGCTTTTCTGGACAACGTGTGCCAGGGCCTCCCCACCCCTATATAAAGAACTTTCTCCTAATATCCAATCCAACCCTGCCCTCTCTCAGTGTGAAGCCTTGTTCCCCTTGCCCTATCACTCCATATAAATAGTCTCTCTCCATCTGTTTGTAGATTCCTTTCTGGTTTAATTACACAAATTACCCATCACCTTCTTAAAACTATTTGTGTTATCCATATTCTTTAGTGAGGCTTGTTTGTTATCACCCGGCTTTATGTTTATACACAGTCGAGAATGCAAAATATTGTTATTTTTGCTTTGTAACTGACATTCCGGTTGTCTCTGTTGCCAGGTAGCTGTCCCAGCCCTCCATATGTGCCATTTGCTAAAATATCACAGGAAGATCAAGCACAGAATTTTTATCCTGTTAATACCACGGTGAAGTACATTTGTCGCCCAGGCTTTGAGAACACCACAGACCAGCTCCCCACCAGCACCTGTCTGGACAACTTAAAGTGGTCAGAAGTCCCTGAGCTGTGTAGGAGTGAGTGTCTCCATGTAATTTTATTTTCTCCAACGCTGTGTTCCTAGTGCCACGTCTGTATTTTAGAATTGCTCTTTTTTAATGACATTTAACGTGAAATACCACCAGTCTCCTGGTTTGCCGTTGCCACGCTGTCACCCCCAACCCCGTGGTGTCCTAAGGATAATCTCACTCTTTTCCAGGGAAATCTTGTGGTATTCCAGCAAGTCCAGAACATGGCAAAGTTATTACAGATGATCATCTGCTCGGTGCAAAAGCCACTGTGGCCTGTGACCGTGGGTGAGTGTGAAGCAGCTGCCCACTGCACCCCAGTTGCCTGGCCAGAGACACTGGTGGGTGAACTGGGACATGGGGCTCTGCCCATGTGGAGTCCTTGGCAACTCTGTGGTGACACATTCTTGGTTGGTGACAACAAACTTTGGGATGTGCCTTTTCTCCCTGCAGGTACATCCTAGAGGGAGGGTCAGCTTTCATCTTTTGTACCCTAAGGGGAAATGAAGTTGTCTGGAGTCAACTTCCAGCTTGTCAGGGTAAGTGAATTGTCCAGTGCTTGACTGGAAATACCAGATATTCCAACTCAGGAATACTGAATTGTTTGTTGATTTTACTAAGTCAAGTCCTGCCCTGGGCAGGGACACCTTCCACTAGCCCAGGTTGCTCCAAGCCCTGTCCAACCTGGCTTTGGACACTTCCAGGGATGGGGCAGCCACAGCTTCTCTGGGCAACCTGTGCCAGGGTCAAGTTCTGCCATGGGCAGGGACACCTTCCACTGTCCCAGGTTGCTCCAAGCCCCGTCCAACCTGGCCTTGGACACTTCCAGGGATGGGGCAGCCACAGCTTCTCTGGGCAACCTGTGCCAGGGCCTCCCCACCCTCATGGGGAAGAGTTTCTTCTGTGTATCTAATCTAAACCTTCCCTCCTTCACCTTGAGGCCATTTCCCTTTCTCCAGTCACTGCATGCCTTTGTCCAAAGTCCCTCTCCAGGCATCTTGAAGCCCCTTTAGGCACTGGAAGGGGCTCTAAGGTCTTCCCAGAGCCTTCTCTTCTCCAGGCTGAACAACCCCACCTCTCTCAGCCTGGAGAGTTCTCCCATCAGGGAGAAGAGCATCCCAGGGGCCACCTCCTGAACTCTTTTTTCTTCCTCCCACAGCTATTTCTTGTCCTCCTCCTCCAGCCATTCCCCATGGGCAGCACGATGGCAACAGCACAGAGAAGTTCCTGTATGACTCAGTCACCACCTACACGTGTGACCCCGGGCTGGAGCTCGTGGGGAACAAATCCCTCCGTTGTACAACAGAGAACGGGGTCCTTGGAGTCTGGGATGGGGCTGCTCCCGAGTGCAGGGGTGAGCACTGCTGGGTAATCACCCCGTTCTCCAGTGCTTTGTTCTTGCCGGGCAGATAATTACTCCTAATTCCCTTCTCTCACAAAGGGAAGGACAGACATTCCATAGGGTTTGTCTCCAGGGGAGCAGGGTCTGTGTGCAGCAGGGATGTGCTCTGCAAGGTGCCAGGCTCTGCCCAGGGGCACTGTGAGCACAGCTGGACCTGCTTTTACATTTTTCCCTTCAAGAGGAACAGGCAGAATTTTGACTGAAAACGTGTGAAGTGCATCAGTAACTGCAAAGCTGGGGAATGAAGGGATTTGTGTCTCATGTCCAACAACACCTGGGCAATAAAGCCAAGTGGGACAGCAGACTGTCCCCAAGGATTGGAGTGTCACCAAGAGCTCCCTGTGTGACTCTTGCACAGCTCTTGCTGTTGTAGCCTCGGATGCACAACTCACCTGCCCATGCCATGTCTAGTCTCACTGAACTCTTATATATATTATATATAAATGGAGGAGCATATAAAATAACACCTTGAGTGCTTTTCCTTTGTCTCTCCCCAGTTAGCACTGCAGCAGAGACAAACCAAACTGAATCCTCCAAAGGGAATCCTTACTGGCTGGGTAAGAGCTCAGTTACTAAAAACTCCTGTTAATTGCTGTAACTGCACCACATTTGGGGCTTTGTTTTTTTAACATCCATTTCATAATTTTCTTCCCTAGCAAGTGTCCTCATCCCTAGTTGCATTGGTAAGTAGCTTAAAATTGAAAATATATTCTCCTAACCCAAAGCTGTCATTTGCTGTTAAATACCTGGAGTCACTGGTTGACTGGGTCAACACTCCTGAGTGTCTCTGGTAAGGATTTAGGGGTTTCTCTGCTGTTGGGTGATGGATCAGCTGTCTTAGTATAAAACATTAAATAAATTGAGGGTGAAATGAAAGATGCCAAAGAAACCAACCAAAACCTGCACATCCTGTCACTCTTTAATTGACAAAGTTGCCTTAAAAGGCCTTGGCAGACTTTGAAACCTGAGAGATTTGTGAAGCATGGAAAAGAGACCAAGTACTGAAAGTGTTATGTTTAAAATACAAAAGAAACAGGAAGCTGGCTATAAAAACTCTAAATAAATGAGGATCACACCCTGGACAAGCTCAGCAGGACACCAGGCTCAGCAGTGGCTCCTGTGCTCCATGCTCAGAGGCAGGAGAAGGATTTTGCAATTATCTGGCTGACAGGGAGCCCTGAGGTTGACAGACAGCGCCAGCACAGAGAATTTTGCTGCCCAAACTGCAGTATTTCACTTCAATTACAGATTAAATTTTGGGTTGGCAGCTTTTTTTTTTTTCCCTTCTTTGTTAGTTCCCCCAGTAGCCCTTGGAATTCTAGCTGGGATCATCATGAGGCGGAAAGACAATGAAAAACAGTAAGTGACACAAAGCTGCCCCTTGAAAATCTTAACTTTCCCCTAGGGGTAAGTGGATGTTTCCTTTCAAGCTCTGTACCTTCAGTATATATTTTCATGTTTAGTACTGTCTTCCCGTGTTGCTAATTTGCTTTTTATTCTACACATTTTCTCCCTTCTGTCTCTTCAGCTCTTATAACATGAATTTACAAAAGCACAAGGTGAAGAAGGGAAGGGATGCACCGATGTGCCCGAAGAAGCAGCCTGTGCCATGGAATTCCTATTTTTGGTAGGTTTGCTTGTTCACCTGCCCAAAAGCTTGTGCCAGCCTTCTAACTGTACCCATGGGTCTCACTGGTGACCTGTAAAGACAAGTCCTCAGGAAGTTTTGGGCTCTCAAATGCCAACACGCCGTTCGCTGAGAGGCACTGGCGGCTTCACGGGAGGGTTTGGTGCTCACTGGCTGCTCTCTGGGCTCAGCCTGAGGGATTATGGTCTTAAGCTGTGCCAGGGGAGGTTTAGGTTAGACATTAGAAAGAATTTCTTTCCAGAGAGGGTGCTCAGCCATTGGAATGGGCTGCCCAGGGAAGTGGTGGATTCTCCATCCCTGGAGGTTTTTAAGCTGAGACTGGATGTGGCATCAGTGCCATGGGCTGGGAACCACAGCGGGGTTGGATCAAGGGTTGGACTGGATGATCTCGGAGGTCCCTTCCAGCCCAGCTGATTCTGTGATTCTATGATTCTCCCCGTCTCTCTCATCCACAGCCACACAACGAGTTGCCACGTGTGTCCCACCTGCAGGAGGCAGCTGCACGATGCCCTGGCCCCTCTCACGGTGCCCACGCGCCGCGGCTGCGCCGCCTGCGAGCACTGGCTGAGCACCAGCAAACCACGCACCTATTCGGTCCCCAGCATTGGTGACAGGGAGAGCCAAAGCCCAGCAGGCACCAGGTACCACCAGGCTCTTGCTCCTGCTCCCCTTGCGTGGGTCCACGGAGGGCAAAACTTTCCCCAAGGAGGAAAAAAGCATCTCTGCGTGGATGGAGCAGGTTTTGCGGTTGGAATTCATTTGGTTCCTCCAAGTCCAGTTTCGGCAGGAGGAAGTATTTGATATTTAGAAAAAGGTGGCTCTGTCGGGCAGCAGGTGTTCTGGGAAAGCCACACATTCAGGTGATTCAGGTGTCTTCTCTCTCTTTGTCTGTGTTCAGCTCTCCTGCCAGAGCTGTGGATGTGCAGAGGGGTCACGGTGCAGGAGAAGCTGGTCCAGAGTGGAGTGAGGCAGAGCAGCCCGTGGGCTACAAAAGGTCTGTCTTCCACTTAAAAACACACAGATGTCATGGTGGGATTGGATAAAAATCACTTCAGAGTAGAGCAAATCTGTTTTTATCACGGAATCCCAGAGTGGTTTGGGTTGAAAGGGACCTTGAAGATCATCCAGTTCCCATGGGCAGAGCACACCTTCTACTAGACCAGGTTGTTCCAAGCTGGCCTGGAATGCACATCCATGCAGTCAGTGCACAGCATTAATGGTGCTTCTCCACAGCAGCCACCACATCTGCCCCGTCTGTGAGAACTGGCTCCGTGCCCACGTTGGACAGTTGGACAGCAGTGCTGTGGCACCCAGGGAGTGGCAGGATGAGGGGTGAGTGTGGTGAGGCCGGTGCAGGCAGCTCCTCTGAGCAGTGGGCACCGGGGTGTGTGCCCAGTGTCCTCGAAATGAGAGTTCAACTCTTCAGATAAAAACACCCTGACAGTGCATGAATGCTGGCTCCACTTGCCTCCAGCTCTGTGTCAGCACAGTGGTGTGGTGCCTGCTTGCAAGCAAAGGGATGTGAAACTGGGGTGAGGTTTGCTCAGACAGTGCTTGGGTGGTTTCTTTGGGTGTCTCTGAATCAGCCTGTGCTCCTTGTGCTCACCTGGCTGGGCCTTGTGTTCTTTGGAGCTCTGGTTTTGGTTAGGCAGCGAAGAGCCTGGTGCTGTGAGAGACCCTGTAGCTTCTGTTCTCCTGCTGCCCAGTGCTTTTCCCACCTCTAGGCATGGTTAGTTTGCTTGGGGCAAGATAAGGAGTTTGGGCAGAGCAGCAACCAGGTGAGTAAGATAATCCTGTTTGCTCTGTTCACTTATCCTTTGACACTTGCCCATGAGAATCTGATGCTCTCTCAGGCTCCCAAAACTTCCTTAACAGAGTCATCACTGACAAATTCAAATAAATATTTGGTTAAATAAACATGGTCTGACGTGTGCATCTGCTTGCTTTATCTTCAGTAAGTGTGAACTTCTTTTTACTCCACTTGTTTTGGGGTTTTTTCCATTTATGTCCCACTGCTGTGTGAGTGCTTTTAGCCCTTAACACTGGAGGAGCCGTTTCAGTTCTGCATTCATGAATCGCTGCTTATTTGAGTTTAAAAAGTTAATATCTTTGAAATGGCCAGGGAAACCAGCTTTTGTGAGTGCTGGAGGCTGTGCTTTAGTGAGGAGGAGTTTGTCACCACCCCACTGGGACTCACCCACCCTTGTCTCTCTCCCCACAGCTCGCGGGGCCCCGTCTGCGCTCCCTGCACGGACCAGCTGCACCTCTCCCTTGTCCACAGCGACACGTGGAGCAGTCCTGTGGTGTGTCCCCTGGCTGCAGAGGGGACCCCAGCCCACCTGGTGCCTCAGCACACCCCCAGCTGCCACGTGTGCCCCGTCTGTGCGGTGCCAACCCACACACACTTGTGCCAGCCCCGGCACCAGGCACCCGACGGTAGGGACCCAAAACACCCCTCAGGTCACCGGGGTGGGGGCCACAGCACCACAAACCTGTCTTTCCTCCCAAAGCCCGAGGGCCCACCCTGATTAAGCTTCTTGTTTCCCTGTTGCAGGATAAATCCAGCGGGGCTGCGGCGTCCTCGGGGCACGAGGAGGGAATTCTGACACTAATCCCTGACACTGTGTGGAGTAACTGATAAAGAGTCTGGAAATCAAAAGCCACCTGGCTCTGATGGGTGCTGATAAGGTCAGGGTACACTGAGGATGTTCCCTGTGCATGGATAAACACATGGATACACCAAAGAATGGATTGATGTGGAGACACCACATCCCCTCTTCCACACATCCTGCAAGAAGGGAACGTGGTAACCTTTTGACCTCTGTCATCCATCCATCAGAAAAGGAATAGATGCTAACTTTATCTCAACCTAACCCTTATGACCAGAGTCATGCAAACTCCGAGAAAAAAGGTATGAAAAGGAGGTTAAGCTGGGGAAAAGATCCAAGGAAGATTTCCATTGAAACTGCTGGATCAGCTGTAGGGCTGAACCTGTCTTCCCATCCCCCTTTAAGGATGTTTACTGGGTGAAAAATTTAAAGTTCTGTGGGCTAATTACTTGCCTTTAAGGAACTAGAGTTTTCTTTCTCTTCATAATGTGGTAGTAGGTTGCTTAAATCTGTATTTGTGCTTTTTTTGTGGTATTATTACTTTGTTTCGAGCGTGTTTTGTAGACAGACTCTATCACTGAGGACTATAAACCTTTATTAGCTGGTCACAATTTGTGTTAATAAACTGTGTTATTTTGTAACTGTTAGAGTTAGTCCTTTTAATAAGGTGCTAATAGTTCTTCTGGCAACAGAATAAACACGAAGGAGTACCTGCTGAGAGGTCCCCGTGCGGTTTTGATCTCCCAGGGACACTAACAAGCAAATATAATTTTTAAGAGGGGGGTAAATTTCCCCTTCCCCTCCTTTTCTCTGAGCCATTGCCAGGGATGAAATTCTTAGTGCAATAAGGCAACCTGAAGTCAAAGGTCTGACTTCACCACCAATGACTTCTTGGTAAAGGAGCAGGAAAATCAAACATACTTCAAAACCCAGCTCCGTGTTGGTTTAATACCTACTTTGTTTATTTTTGTATGAAAAAACTATTTTTGCAGCTCTTAAAGCAAGGCTTTAAAAATTCAGTAAATCTTTCGCAATAGGCACCCTCTTTTTGCACAATCTTACAAGATTTATTCGCATTTTTTAAACTTTTTTTTTTACTGAGGTTCCTTTCAGGAACAAGTGATCAGGAGCAAGTGTAAAAATTAGAGTATTTATGGTAAAACTGTTTTGTAAATAAAAGGAATCTAAAATAAGGAATACTGGTATGCTGGCTTGGGGGTTTATTTCGTGTTTACTAATCCAGCCTTCTCCTAGAGTGCTTGAAGTGATTTTGCAGCCTCATTCTTTGCCGGATGTAATCGAGCTCACTGATTGCTTCTGCTCAGATAATTGCTGTTGTTGCCCTGGCACCCACAGCTGTGCCCAGCCTTTCCTGGGAACTGTGATGACAGAGCTGAGGTGCCACTGCTGGCGTGGAGCCCGTGCCCACTCCGGGCAGTGCCAGGGAAGGTGTGTGCTCCTCCCCGGGTGGAACCTTCCCTCGGTCAACCCTCAGTGTTCCTGCGCTGGTTTTGTGTTCTCTACCCAAAAAACCAGGCTGCAGCTCCAGCGGGATGTTCCCAGGATTCAGCTCCGTGCTCCATGCGCAGCTTGTACTCAGTTTGATACAGGGGACAAAATATTGATAAAGCAGAGGCTGTAACATTTGCCTTTCTGCTTTATCAGTGTTTGCCAAGAGATTGCATTGATGGGGGCTCTGGAAAACACCCAGATGGGGGTGGCAAACGGGCAGTGCCACGGGGAGGACAAAAGCACCACACAGTCCCCAGATCCTTCTGTTGTATCTCTTATCAAACTGGGGCACAGCACATTTCCATGGGCTTGTGCTGGCAGGTGTAAATCTGCTTGGAGGAGAGGGAGAGGCAATGGCCACCTGAGCATGTGAGCTGTCCCACGCCCTGCCTGCTGTCCCTCCCTGTCCCTGCTTGCTCATCCCTTGGAATGCAGGGCTGGAGGCAGCAGGGGCTGTTCAGGGGTGCCAGGTGGTCCCCCCAGCGTGCCCTAAACCTCACCTGGCTGGCACAGAAGGTCAATCACCTCTTGGTGAAGCAATGACACAGTGCTGGAAGCAGAAAACAGTGAAGAAAGTGCAAAATTCAATATGTAATGGTGCAAACATGGACACCTGACGGAGGTCTTGCAGTTTGTGTTGCCGTGGCATCGGGGAAGAACAATGGAATGAGGTGGAAGCTTCACAGTCTCATCTTCCACCTGATATTCCAAAAGGGTTTGTGCAAACCAAGCACAACTCCTACCAGGAAATATTCTGTACAACACAACCACAAAAACCAGAAGCTTTGACCACAGCACTCTGCTCAGTAGGGGTTAATAAGGTATAAAATGTACCCTGTGTTTGTATACAACTCAGGGAGAAGAATTCGACATGAAATTGCAGGGACAGATCGACATGTTTGTCCTCCTCCCCCTCCCCAGAAGAGACATCTCTTGGCAAGTCTTGTGCCCTCTGCTGTGCCAAGTGTTGACACGGGAAATTAGGCTTGGGATTGCAGTTGTATTGTTAGTGCTCTCTGCAGCTATTCTGCACTTAATCCATTTACCACCAGCAATCCAAAAGAACTGCATATGTTGCATCCAATAAATCGTGCTGTTCGTGACCCCGACTGGCTCTTTTGACTGCAACCAGCCCTACAGTTCACAGACTGGTCACACAACTCCTGTGACACTTTTGCAACACCTAGGAATGGTGCAACACGGTGTGGCAGGAGGACAAGTGCTCTTCGGAAAAAAACACATCTGCGGTGATCTCAGGCTGTCCTTGAGTTGAGGACCAAGTGTTTGGTGACCAGGAATAAGGAGCCTTCACAAGGCAGACACTCCACGTGTTTACAGCTGTTTGGGGTAAGTCACGCATGCTACGTGTTGGGTTATGCATCCCAAAGGTAAACTCCTTCCCTGGAATCGGGTGGGGCAGGAGAGGCCGAGGGGAGGAGGAAGGAACCCTGGCTGTTCCTCGTTTGTTAAGCGGCATCATTTCCTACCCATTAAACTATAAAACGGCAGCGCCCTGGGAGCCGCCGGGACAGGTGAGGGAATTGCCTTGGGAATTAGCTGAGGAGCCGCCGCCCACAGCGCCAGGGGCACAGAGGAGCCGAGGCACTCGTTTCCCTCAGCAGCCCGAGGAAAAGAGTCCCTTCGTGCAACAGCCGCGACAGGGATCCGCGTCTGTCCCGGGGAGAGCCGCGCTCCGCATCCCTGCGCATCCCGCGGAGCCGGCACCGGGAGGGACCTGGCACCGGGAGCGGCCCCAGCTCCGGCCATGGCTCTGCGCTGGCTCTTGGCGCTGCTGCTGGCACTGCCCGGCGCTTGGGGTGAGCGGGGACCCGGCGGGACAGGGGCTGCGTGGGGCCGGGGTGGACCCGCGTGGAAATGGGGCTGGGGCGGGGCTGCGCGGGGAAGGGCTCGGACGGGCCCCGTCACCATCACCTTTCTGCCCGCAGGGGTCTGCCCGCAGGCGCCGACTTTCGTCTTTGCGGAGCTCACCACGACCCCCCAGGAATCCTACCCCGTGGGGACCCAGCTGAGGTACCGCTGCCGCCCGGGGTACGTGAGGAACGGGGACCAGGCCCCCGTGGTCACCTGCCTCCCCAACTCCACCTGGTCGGAGCAGCCCGACTTCTGCATCGGTGGGTTCCCCCGTGGTGGGCTTGGGGGGCGGGCACAGCCCCTGCAGCACCACAAACCCCTTCACGGCTCAGCCCGGCTCAGAACGATGCTCCCCTATCCCTGTTTTAGGGCAGTTAAAACAAGTGCCCACCCTGGGTGCCTGCGCGGGGTGGCCCTTTTGCTTAGAAATGTTAATCTCTGGGAGATGATCTCTGCCATTCTGACTTTACCATCTGGTGGTGCAGCGTTAGTGCTGTGATATATTCACACAGAAACAAGGGACGGTGTGGAGGAGGCTGTGAGTGTCTGTTGTCCCCATGTGACATCCTGTCCCCATCCCCTTCACGCTATTTCCCTGTGGACCAAGACCTCTGGGTTTTTTATCAGTGTCTTTTTTTCAGCAAGCACATAAACCTTAGCTTTTTCTAACTTGTCCTCAGCCTTTTCTGTTCTGTTATTTGCTTTTCGTTTAAGTTTTAACTTTCAGTTCCTCGGAAATTAATGTGGCTCTTGTATCTCTTCTGCAAGTGCTAGTGCTTGCTCTCGGGGCAGTCAGGTGCCTGATAAACGGTCAATTAGTCAGTAATGACACTGAACAGCTACTGTCAGCTGGATTTCACTCTAATCCTATAAATAGAGGTAATGCTGAGCACTTGCCCTTCCAGGAAAGTCGTGTGGGCAACCGGACATCCCGAATGGCAACTTTCACAGCAGCACCAATCTGCTGCTTGGGGCGACCATAACCTTCACCTGTAACATTGGGTAAGTGTCAGCCCAAGCTCCTGGTGAGTCGAGGTGGGGTGACAGCACCCGGGGGACACTGGGAGGCTTTGAACAGCTGGGGCTGCTCCTCTGCAAGCACAGGCACGGTGGGAGGTGTTTGGAGCAGGGAGCCACAGGGGGTGAGCTGTCCCTCTGCTCTTGCTGTCAAAACATAATAATCCTCGGGCCTGAGGGTGTGGATTTTGCAGATTGCTTTTTGGCTGCTTTGCGAAGAATTGGGTTCCTTTCCTGTTGCTGCTCGTTAGCAATTCAGCGTTTGTTGTTGCAAGCTGGGTCTGGCTGCCCATGGCTGAGATAAAGAGGCTCTGGTGTCCTGGAAAATGCTGGGAAAGGGAAGGAGGGTGGTTCAGTATGTCAGTAACACCTGGCTCTGCTCAGAAGATAAGCTGCTGTTTGGATCTGCCACTGCACAGACGGGGCTGAACAGATGCAGGGTGAGATGAAGTCTTGCTCGTGGTCCTGTGAGCTTGTGCAAGAATTCAGTTTCCTCCAATTGCATCATGTATTGCATTCCTTTAGGTGTTGAGAAAATGGTATTTCATAGGAGGGCTGGCTGCTTGTACCCTAGGGTTCAGCTTCTCCAGAGAATACCACTAGAAACTGTACAACTTTCTCAATTTCTCAAAGTTTTTGCTTTTTTTCAAAGAGATTCAACCTTTCCTTTTCTCAGGTACCGACTAGTTGGGCCACCAACTGCACAGTGTGTATTTAAAAATGGTGAAGTTTACTGGGATAACATTCCAATCTGTGAGAGTAAGCAGATCTTAACTGGTTTATGCACATCTCTTCCTCAATGCTATTGTAATGTATCTGCTGGTTTGGGGACTGGCAGGTGGATTATCTCTTCTTGGTACCTAATGCAAATTCCTTTAGCCTTTAATGAGACTGACTCCTTACCCCTCCCTCTGGAGCTGAGAGTGAAAATTTAAATAGAAAGGAGGGTCTGTGGATGTTGGCAGCAGCTCTGTAGTCAGATCCATGAGAAACTTCCTGCTGAATTGCTTTGTCAGGAGCTGTGGTTGACTGGGACTGAGATGCCTTCAGACGTGGCTGCACATCCAAAGTCTTTATTTTCAAAGGGGAAATAAGTGATAAAGAGTCTTGATGGTGCTATTTGGGCTTTTTTAGCACACTGTGGGATAGGCCTGACTGTCAGCTGCTGATAGTTTAGATGCTTTGCTACTATAACGGGTGTTCTGGCTCATCCTTGTCAGCATAACAAAGGTGAGGGGGCCAAACTGCCTGGAGAGACCACATTCACTGCCCCCAAAAGGCCTCTTCTGTGGTGGCAGCTCTTGGACAACAGATGCCATTTTGCTGTTTTCCCCTTTATCCATTTTAGAAAAAGAAACTCTGGAAAACATTCAGAACGGTAGGGCACATTCCAGACTTTAGGTTGAGGTGATGGCTTCTGGGGTGCTTCCCTGTCTTGTGTCTTTTTGGTTTGGGTTGTGGGGTTTTTGCTTTAGTAGTTAAATCTGTATTTCATATTTGATGGAAATATTCCTTCGTTTCCTTACTGTTTCCTTCCCATGCAGTTATTGCCTGCCCACCACCTCCTGAAATCAAGAATGGGCAGCTCCTTGGTGGGGAAGGAGAATTCACCTTTGGCACGTCTGTAAGTTACAGCTGTAACGCCGGTTTGTCTCTTATTGGAGATGTCACAATTTACTGTACAATGGGTCCTAACTACCAGGGAACCTGGAATGGTCCAGCCCCCGAATGCAAAAGTAAGTGCTTTCTTTCTCTCCTTATTCTTTCAGCTTTGTTTCTCATCCCTCTCCCAGTCTGTACCTTCCCGAGGGGCTGCCAAACATGAGAAGGTTGATTTGATCCTAAAAGGATTTCCAGGAAGCTTAATGCTGTGGGCTCCCAGGTCATGGCCAGAGGCAGGATTCTTCAACCTGCAGAAATCCTCCCTCTCCCTGCCCATGCCCAGGGCTTCCTGCAGATGAAAAATGAAGTGCAGCTTCCTAATGATGTCTCTGTTCTGAGTGGTTGCACCTCACAGGGGACCTGCCTCTCTCAAAGTGAGAGGACAGCAGTTCTAATCTAGTAGGTGGCATCCCTGCCCATGGCAGGGACTTGGAACTAGAAGATCTTTAAGGTCCCTTCCAACCCAAATCATTCAATCATCCTATGATTTTCTTAGTGAGCTCAGTAAGCTTCTTGTGTCACTGCAGGGCTTTTTCTTCTAATAAATTTTCTCATCGTCCTATTTTCACTTCCAGTGGTCAGCTGTGAAGATCCAGTCGTGAAAAATGGGAAAAGGTTGTCTGGCTTTGGCCTTGAGCACACATATAAAGATACAGTGAGCTTTGAGTGTAATCCTGGTTTTAAAATGAACGGTAGTAGTGTAGTTACCTGTGAAGCAAACAGTTCCTGGACTCCACCTCTGCCAACATGTGACCAAAGTGAGTAGAAACAAGTTTATTTCCTTGAGCAATTGTGGTGAAGTAGGTCTAAGAGCTGTAGAGCAGGTCCACTTCAAACCTTGTGCACTTGCAGCCATGCCTTTGCAGAGGCAAGACCCCCTTGGGTCCTCAGCGTGGCAGCCCAGGCCCGAAGCTGTTTATTTGGGAATAGCAAATGATCCAAAAGCTCGCTGAAAGGAGAGAAACAGTTGTCTTCCACATCTGCCAGGTTTGGTTCAGCAGCTTGCAGACCTGTTGGGGATGCTTTGGCTTCGAGCTCAGCTGAAGGGGGGCCCTGCAGGTTGGGTTGGTGGGCAGGGAAGGAGCATCTCTGAGGCAGATTTACCCAATCTGGTTAAGCAAGCTGTGACATCCACTGCTCTTTGCTGAAAGGCTCGGATACAAACTGTGCCCCAGACATTCAAGCAGGCTGTGTGCTCCAAAGCATGCAGTTCACTGCTGTCATTGCAGACCCCTTGGGTGTGTTCTGTAACCAGCCTTGTGTTTGTCTCCCACCGTTAGTCCGCTGTGGTTCCCCTCCACGCTTCCCTTTTGCTGAACTACCAACACCTGTGGGTGACAGCTCTGAGTTTGGAACCAAGCTGGACTATCGGTGTAACCCAGGGTATAAGGCAGCACCTGGAAAGTCCTCTACTGTCATTTGTCAGAGTAATGAGACCTGGTCTGCTGCAGACCCAGACTTCTGTGTCCGTGAGTGTCTCTGTTCCTCTCCTGCCTTGCCCGGCTGTGGGAGGGATCTGGGTGTGCTTGGGATGTTGCTCTGAAAACTGGGTCATGCCACGGGTTTGAAGTAATTCCTGTGCTGCTTTCTTTTTTTTTCTAGGACAGCAATGCTCTCCTCCTGAAGTAAAAAACGGGAATGTGGCTGGAAATGAAACAACTTTCCCCTTTGAAACAGTTGTGAAGTTCACCTGCAATTCTGGGTGAGTGGGTCGCTGCTTGGAAGGGACCATCCTGGGGGTCCATGGACAGGGCAGCTTCCTTGGTTTCCCAGTGCAAGTGTGTATTTTGGCTCCAGTGAGGTCAGTGTGTGGTCAGACACCTGTGCTTGATGCAGTGAACTGCTCTGATTCAGCTCTTATTGCTGTTTTTACTTTGTGGCCACACCCCATTTCACAGCAGGACGGCCTCTGCTTAATCACTTGCCTGTGTGTGGTGGTTGGGGAGTGGGGAAAAACCCCTTCTGGAAAGGAGTAAACTTCTTCTCTTTCCTTAGGCATGAGGTAATAAACCCTTCTGCCAGATGTGTGGCATCAGGAAATGGAGTTCGCTGGGACCCAGCACCTCCCTACTGCTCAAGTAAGAGGGAAAAACCCTGCACAGAGCCATTAAGATAACAGCTGGAACTGCTCTGGTGTGGCTGCCTTGCTGGTGGGCTTGGGCTGCTCTTCCTTGTGCTTCTTAATCAATCAACCCTAAAAATCAGGATTTCAATACAATTCCAGCTGTGAGGCCTTTGCTGCAGTATTCCTGTACAGTTCAGAAATTATGCTGGCAAAGGGGAGGGAGCCTCTATTTCCCATTCTGTGTGTTGCTTGTTTTCCACGCTCATTTGCTCCAGTTTGAGACACTGCATGTTGTGTAGTTTAGGAATAACTGTGCTGGATGGGTGCAGAGTTTCATGTTTTGTCTCCTTTCCTTTCCAGGAGCAAACATGATCGTTGTTGGTAAGTAATACAAATTCCTGAACCCCTGTACCTGGCTCCTGCCTGTCTTTGTTCTTGTCTCCTGTGTGTTCTGCTTGTAATGGGCTTAAAAGCCTTTTGTTACAGTCTCTGGTCATGTTGGTATCATTGGTGCTTTAGGATCATGAACTGAAAAGGGAGAGGGGAATGTAAAGGGGAACAAGGAGGGAAAAGATATTTAACTATGTTTGAAGTGAAACCTGAAGCTTCTTATTTGTACCTTGTAGGAATCTTCCCCCTCCTCCTGGCAATGCTGATCATGAACATCTAAGTTTGGGAACAGGCACAGTGAGAAGGCACCTGTAGACGTGTTGGACTCAAGACTGATCCCAGTGCTCTGCTTTTCCCTCCTGTGAAACTGGCCCTGGAGCAGCAACCAACAGGCCTTGGCTGGCAAAGCCCAGATGTTCCAGCTGCTGCCTGGGAGGAACTCACACTCCTGGCTGCAGCTGCAGCACGTTGTGTTGGACACAGCAGCTCGTGGGGCTGGAATGGAGTGGGAAGCTCTCTGCCACCTGGCTGGAATGCTGTCCAGAAATCAAGTGCAGTTATCCCCCTGTTAAGTCACAAAGATGCCAAAGACCTTCAGGCTGTAATAGAGGAAGCTCAAGAAAATCCTGAGCTTTGGGTACCTCTGCACGTTGGGTTCCTCAGCCCCTCTAAGGTCATGGTGTGCCTGGTCCTGATCAGGACTTACGGGTTTCTGAAGTGTCCTGAGGTGGAAAATCCTGCCCCTGCTGAGAGGGTTAAAGTAAATGTCTTCATGTGAGTGATACCTCCTTAAGCAAATTGCTTGAAACAAATGGGATGTATAAATTGGGCATTATCTGCGAGCACTGACAGCACTGAAAATCACAGAATTGTTAAGGTTGGAAAAGACCTCCAAGATCATCAAGTCCAACCTTTGACAAAACACCACCATATCAACTGAACCACAGCACTAATTGCCACGTTGAGTCACTTCAGATATTCACATTCTTCTTCATATAAAGCACAGTTGCAGCTGTTACTTCAAGGTGAATATGAACTGTTGTGCAACAGCAGGAATTTTACCTGAGAGAAAAAGTTTCAGTGCTTTTATAGCAAAGAACAGCTATTCTGACCCTTCCTGTAGGAACTAAAGTTAGTTTTAAGCTTCAGCTGAAGGTTTCTGCCCTGGCACTCTCTTTGTGTCGTGTTGAGGCTTCTCCACAAGTACATCATGGAAACAGCTCCTGTCCCTGAACTCACTGGAGCTTCTCTTGAAGTGCTGAAGCTCTCAGTGGGCTGAAGGCCCCAGGAAGAAGTGGAGCTGCTCCAGGGTCTGGCCTGGATGTAGAATTGCAGGTGCCACCAAACATCAGAGTCTCTGCATATGAACCTTTTGCTGCTCAAGTGACCGGTGTGAGGAATGTCTGAATTTGCATTTAAAAAGGATTTTTCAGGGGGTGCTGTACACCCTGACTATCCTGGCTCACACTGTGGGTCAGCTGGTGCCAGCTCAGCCTCTGGATGTCTCAGGAATTCCGTAGTGCTGGGGAGGAAAAGCAGATTTTTGGACTCTTGCTCCACTCGTGGCAGGGCTGAGGGGCTCCTGCACAGGGGGACTCTCGCTGTGATGCCTCATCCAAGGTAGGTGCAGATGGACACCAAGCCAAAGCCTTCCTGTGCTCCTCCATGGGGAACAGGACACCAACCCCACACCTTTTGTGCACTTTTTCATCCTGCCTGACCTGACCTAGTTGTTGCTGTGCTGAGGACGGTGTGTGAGGGCAGACAGAGGGGAGGGAGGAAGTGTGTGGGACCTCACTCTCCTTGTCTAAGCCAAAGGCACAGGCAAAAATGCCCTTGATTTGTTTAGCTGATAGAAGGGCCACGCTGGGGCCTTGGTGTCCTTTCCTGGTTTGAGCTCAGCCTGGCTAAAGGATCACTTGATAAGCTAGAGAGGTGTCATCTCATAAAATAAATACTGGAAGGTTTCCTGTTTATAAGGGAAACAAGACTGTGAAGGAATTTAAACTTGTTAAGCCTGAGACACGCAGACTTTTAGCTGCTGGTAAAGCAAGATTTTGAGGTTTGGGGTTTTGTCTGCTGCTGAGGTAAGTCACCCATCTGTGAGCTTCTTGTGATGCACAGTTGGGAGCAAAACCTGTCTACTACAGACTTTTTGTTTCTCCATTTTCACCAGTGGTTTCCTGTTAACAGGAACACACATCTAATAAGAAGGAAAAACACAAATAGCCATTTCCATCAACATGTTGGTCTTGTTCCAAATAGACCCACGAAGTTCTCTGTTCCCAGCAGAGCACTGTCCTGTTCAGCTGTCACAGGGGCACTGCGAGATCCTGTTTTCAAGCACTTTCCTGTTGCCAGTTATTTTTATTTATCTCTTACCATAAACCATATGAGTGACTGGATGGACAAAACACCTCCTAAAGCCTTGTGTCTTTGGGTTGTGTTTGGTTTTGTTATTTTAATCCCAGCACAATTGTTCCTACTCCATCATCCAGACTGATTTTTCTGAATGATTTAACACTTGATTTGGGGACCAGCTTGGAATGATCTCCCCACAACCAAATGAAAGGAATTGTGAATGCTGTGATGTAACTTACAGGTGTGGTTGCCAAAATTTACCAGTGAAGAGGGTTTATCTACTGTGTTTGTAATGGAGTTGTACATGTTTTTACTTTATAATCTGAGTGTAAACGACCAAGGGCAATTCTGAAGTGTGAATGTTGGACATGTAAATATTGGAAGCTCTCTGTCAATAAAAGGGATAAAAAGACTTGAGTAAGACGTGCCTTGCTGCTTGTTTTAGGCTCAGTGAGGAGCCTGCTATGTGAGGTGAGGAGCTACAGGGTGCTGGGGCTGCTCCTTCCCCAAAAAGTCCTGTCTGAGGGGTTTTATTCTTCCAACCAGGGGCAGGGGATGAGCCCTAGAGCAGCCAGGGTTGGGTTAGGAGGATTCAGGTCCACAACTGCTGCTGGTCCCATTTGTTTGGGAGGAGGGAATGCCACTCTCTGCCCTTCCCATACCCAGGTGAGCTGTGCTGTGTCTTTTCAGGTGCCATCACCACCTGGGGACCTGAGGCCACTTCCCCAGGGGAGGATGCTCTGCATGACAGCACAGCTCGGCTACAGCACCTCTGCCTGCACCCACACCTCCTCTTCCACAGATGCCTGAGGGTCCTGGGGGCCCATCCTCCCCTTCCAAACCAGCAGCAGCAGCGTGGGGCACCTGCAGCCTCCCCTGAGCCGGGGAGCCCATGGGTTCCTGTCCCGCGGCCCCGGGAAGTCCCGCGGCTGAGGCTCCTTCCACAGGCGGGGGGTGCCGGGGGGAACTGGGGTGTCCATATCTTCCCACCGCCCCCCCAGGAGCCACAGTCTGTGCCAGGGAGCAGAGCATGGTGCTCACCTTCACCCTCTGCCTCCTGGGCAGCTCTGCTTGGCTCCTGATCTCCACGGCTGAGGCTCGAGGTGAGTGAGACCGGCAGGTCTGGGACCTTCCTCCCACAGCCCTCCTCTTTCTCGTGGCTGCTCCTCTCCTTGCTGACCCTTTTGCTCTTCCCTGCTGGTCCCAGGGCTTTTTTTCCCCCTTCCCATATTTTTAGTGTGGGTGCTGTCACTTGGCCGCCCTGGCAAGGTTTGAGCAGGGTGGAGCAGACTTCTGCCTGTATCCTCAATTGTGTAAATTAGTCATTGGCATCTTGAGAGACCAAGGCTGACCCTCCTGCCTTAGCTGGCTGGGGTGGCTCAGTGGCAGACAAGTGGCTGCAAAGGCTTGGGTTACATTTAGATTTTTTTAAAAAAAAAGTAAGGTGTATTTTCTTCTGCTCTATTTTCTTCTGTTATACTTGGTTATCTCTGTGTTCAGCTGAATTATGTGCATTTGGTTCTCCAGCCTCCTGGAAGTTCCTGTCACTGCTCCCATGTGCTCTGTGATTCTGGAGAGCTGTGGGTCTCCAGCAAAGCCAACCTCAGAGCTGGTGAGGGGCACAGCAGAGGTGGGCTGCAGCCAAACAGCTCAGGGAGACCAGCTGTGGCTCTTTAGTCACAAAAGATATTGCCAGAGAGAGGCATTTCTCTTAAGTTCTTTCTGCATTCCCGTAGCTAGAGCAAATATTTGCTGAGCGAACAAAAAAACCTCTTCCTTGTGGTTTTGGCTCTGGATGTCTGCTTACCTGTCCACCTCTCTGCATGTCTGCCTTCCCCTCTCTCCAGGGGATCAATGCAAACAGCCCCCAGCTACCCCTGGAGAGCAGCTTCTCGTGGGCAGGTCCCCTGTAAGGTGCAGCAGAGGTTTCCCCTTGCTGGCACAGGGGTGTCCCCACACCATCGTGTTGGTGCCATGGACAGTGTGTCACAACACCCCCAGCCCATGCCATGTCCCCCCCACCCAGCTCTGGCACATCCACGTGCTCCTGGTCACTCAGACCCCTGGACTGCAGTTAGTCCTGCCTGGGTTGGATCAGACCCAGAGGATGGGCTTCAGAGCCCGTGGGTCAGAAACCTGTAGCAGGGACAGAAAGGGCTCTTGGCCTCACCAGGTGATTGATGTAAAAGCCTGGATACCCAGTTTTTGCCAGCTGAGGAAGCTGCAGGGTCCCCCAGACACACAGGGAGGGGTCCTGCAGCCCCGGGGGCACCGCCCTCCAGCTTCAGCCTCTGCCACACCCCACTGCTCAGGATAAAGGGGCTGCATGGACACCATCCCCACGACCACAGCAACACCTGGGAGCTCTGTAGGTAAACGTTTCATTTCTCTCCCTCTTCCAGTTCCCCTGTGCCCGCTCCCAAACATCCGGTATGGGACGAGAGTACCCCGTGCTCGCCTTTACTACAGGCCCGGGGACATCGTGAGCTTCACCTGCAACCCGGGCTACACCCTGCAGGGCTCCCGCATCAGCACCTGCGGGACCGACTTCAGATGGAACCCACCTCTGCCAGTGTGCAAGAAGGGTGAGTGTCCCAGTGTGTGCGAGCAGTGACGGCCGCGGGGGAAAGCTCCCTCTTGTGTCCTCCCAAATTCAGTGGGAAAGCAAAGCCGCGGTGGGAGAAGTTAACCCTGGGCTGGAACCTCCTGGCACGATCTTGAGGCAGCTGTGGGATGGCTGCCCCGGGGGGATTCCTGTTACCAGCTCCTGGTCAGATGTGGGGCATTTTCATCTTCCTCCTGGAACGGGAAGTTAATCAGAGCTTCTTGCTGCTCTTGCTGCTTCCATGTCCATGTGCATTTCTGTCAAATCCCCTGATGTGCCTGGGAGTTCTCCTGTTGGGACTGTCCTCACTGCCAGTAATTTCTTCCAGATGTGGAGTGATTGTAATATCGGTGCAACTGCACCTTTAGTTAACTAATGTTTTGGTCCAGCAAATGGAACAAAGGCGACAGAATTTAGGATATTACCCTGACATCACTTAA